GAGCGTGATAATCGAAAAAGTCGAATAAAACTGTTACGGTTAATGATTGTCTGAAATGTACAAATTTCCTTGCTTTGAAATTTAAATACTCGACTAAACATGTTCGAATATTCATTGTAAATTGTAAAGGATATTTTAATCTAAAACGGATATGTCTTTGACTCTTATTCGAACGGTTTCCTGGGTACGTTAATTGCAGCGATTCAACTTTTGCCAGATTACAAATTAATTGACGTTTAAGAAAATAAAGCTATAGAGGGTAATGTGAGATTTTTAATACACATGCACTTTCTGTACTGACACACATTAAATCTTGTAATCAAAGTGTTCTTTTAACAGCTGCACTTTGTTTACTCGATACATAATAATATGGAGTTAATAACAATACATAATAACATTGACATAATAATATTGAGTTTTACTGAAACATAATATTCTCCCTTAATCCAGTATGGATATATTATTCAAAAGCGTGATGTGCAGTCAAATTATAATAGAGTGTATAACAAATCTCAATTTGTAACTGTTGTCATGTCATTGAAAATACGAAAACTAAATTGATAATTTCTTACTTGGGTTATCTTTAAACAGTTATTAATATTTGCTCTGAATAAAAGTATTACCAATTCTTGCAAATATATAATTGTAAAATTTTTTATTATTTTATCCTATATTTTTATAAATGTAGTTACACAATCAAAGGTAAAAATTACACGATAAACAAGTTATTGGATTTCAAACGCTGGCTATTCGAACAAAAGGTTAATTCGCCTTTCATGGTTGACAAAGCGATTGCATTCTAATAAGACAAGACAGACATTGCAATAGCTTGGAAATTTAATAGAAAGCAGAGCTTTGTGTTCTTCGAAGACGCGGATAAAATAGAATTCTAATATTTGATTTAAAATTACAGCAGCTGTTTTATTCAATAGAACGGATAGCATTTAATATGAGTGTAAAAGCAACAGGACAGACGAATACGTTTCTTTTTTGTAAAATAAGAAACTTTCAGTTTTACTGGCGGAAATAATTCTGCTTGAAGGATTATAGTAAACCAGAAATGTGAAAGTCGGAAATAAAAAGATTGCATTCCAGTGTCACAAAAGTGTTGCTGTAGTCACCTAGCGGTATTCTTGCAATTTTCAAAATGTAGATATGTAGCGAAACGGTGGAGTCTACTTTACCGACCCTAATCGATCAATTAGAACATATATTAACGTGATACCGTCAGACGAAGAATTAATACAAAGTGCAAGGCAAAACTTCTGAAAACTCTCGTGCTTCGAGCAAATTTTGCAAATAACCTTTTTTGTAAAAGAAGATATCTGTGAGAATCATTTCTGGCGACATGAAAGAAAATTTTTTTGCTATTTCTGTCATTTTCTATATCACCGACGAGATACTGTACAAGTGTGCAAACTGTTTTGAATACATAATACGCATCTTGGGACCCATAAGCCATATTGCAAACACTATGAAACCAACGTTACTAAATGTATAATGTATTAATCAATAGAATCAAAATTAATTGGGGTTTTTCAAAAATTGAACAAGTGGCGCCATCTCTTCGGCGAACAGGGTGAACTACACACTTTTGAAACTGTAGTTTAATTAGTTCCTACCTTCTACCGCTAGATGGCAGAACATAACATAGACATATAGCCAAGTCAATTTCAATTAATTATTAACTTCATCAATATTACTGATTTATTTGAAATCCTTCTGGATTTTGTTAACTTGTGTAGATGTTCTTGATTAAAGGTTTTATAACAGAACTCTTCTTGACCGACGACTAAAGTTTCTACAATATGAAACTTGGAGTACAAGTATCAAATGTGTGCTCGATGTCGATATTTCAGATCGCGTGATGAGGTATCATTAGTGATCTGTTTTATCCACTGTCGTATAGAATCACTTTGCTATATTGCAAAAAACTTGTCTCTGATTTATTTGAAACTTTGCCAGTAGTTTCATTCTGTATAGAAACAATGTTTGCGAGGGGGATTTTTGCTAGCATTTTATCGTTCTCTACTTTACCGACAGAGTATAAAGTAAGTTTCGGGTGGAATTAAATTTTTATAGAAATCTGGCGTGACAATGAAATTTTAATGTAAATCTTTATGTTTTTAATTAATATATGATATTATAATACATATCGATATTTTGTTCCCACCGCCAGGAGCTCTGCGATGTAATTCCAGTCGATATAGTAGAACGCGATGGAGAAATGGAAGAGATTCAAATAATTTAAAGAACATAGAAAGAAGACCTCAAGCAATTAAAATATATTGTTAATATATGTTTGTAATATGTATTTAAACGTTAACATGATTTGATGAAGACCAAATTATGTATTTCTTCTTTTCGCTATTTTTCAGTTTTAAAAATGTACACACTTGATAAATATTTAACGTGCAAAATAAATATAGTTTGTCAATAAATATTAATAATACTGACAGTATTTGTATACATATATATTTAATTTATGATGAAAGAACATTAGCTCTATTTTTAACAAACTTGTTAAAAATTTTATAGAAGTAAAAGTAGAGCAAAGGAAATTTTACAAACAGAGTTATCAAATAAACTGTCGTTCATGAATGACTCGTAAGTATATCAATAGACATACGTATTACATGAGCTCTACCTCATCTATCCTTTTATGTACTTACTATATTGATTTTCTTCTGATATCAAGAACTTGATTTCCACTACGCAAAACCATAGCAATCTTGTGAATTTTAGTTCTCACGATATTACCACCACGTGTTATGCACATGAGTACATTTGGATGCCACGTGAGGAAGCAAAAAACAATTGAATATACCGTCTTACTGCGAAAAGAAGGAAAGTTTCTTGTGCAGTTGTATCTGTTGGTTTCCCACAATTTATCAATCATATGTTACTCTTGCATTACTTAGGATTTTACTTTGCATTGTACAAATGCTTTATATTTAAAACATATATAGTTAACTTTGCAAAATATTTTAGGAGTAAATTAGTATTTAAAAAATAAATTTTAGAAGATAATTTAAAACACTTCACACTTGTACCACGTGCTATTGTACATTTTGAAAATAAATTCTAGAAAATAATTCAAAATTTTCAACTGACATGGATCTGTAATATTTAGGGAAATAGGGTGACAGATACCAATGTGAAGTATTTTAAATTATCTTCCAGAGTTTATTTTCAAAATTTACAATAGCACATAGTACAAGTGTGAAGCAATTTAAAATACTTCACATTGATATCTGTCACCCTGTTACCCTAAATATTATAGATCCATCTCAGTTGAAAACATATACTAATACAATAATAATGTAAAAAAGATACGTTTCAAAATTCATTTCAGATTTGAATCAAAATCTCTATTCTCGTTACCGCAAATATCTCATATTCTATTCTCCACAATACCCCATCAGCGACCTCGAGGTTCCACTTAAAACTTCCGTTTCTGCAAAGTCATAATCTATCCAATCATAAAATTGTCGGTATCGTTGACAAACAGTTGGTTTCGAATCGATTACCGCGTGAAAGGTGAGCATACGATTAATGAATTTTGCGATCGTTTCCTGTCACGTCGACCTTTTGACTTAGAACAGTTTAGCACGTGACTGGCAAGATTTTTCCCCTCGAAGCCGCCGAACATTTCATACACACAGAGACGAACGGCTTACGATCCTGATTGAAATTCAAGCAGCGCGTGTCGAAACGATTCGTCCTAAACAGTTTTTGCTACTAGCACCGTGGATGATGATGTCCATTTATCTTCGAGTCATTCAAGGCGGACAGTTTAAGACTTAGCCGTGCACGTGGACCGTGTCCGGACAAGTGAACACGTTAATCGATTCGTTTTCGAATGTATCGATTAAACTGAAGCACAGTACTTTTGCCATTTATTCGAGTAACTTCTATATTTTGTAGGATGTTTAGTCAGTTTGATGGATGTTGATATCTTTTTCATTATTCGACTGTTTGCTGATTTATTCATTTTATGCGGTTGCAATGAAAAGTAGTGCAATCATATTGTGATCACTCTTTCTTTACTTATATACAGGGTGTTTGGCTACTGGTGGGAATAATTTTAGGGGGTGATAGCTGTGGTGATTCTGGACAACTTTTTCCTTTACCAAAATGCATAATTTTAGGGGGTGGTAGCTGGGGTAATCCTGAAAAACTTTTTCCTTTACCAAAATGCTGGTTAGAGCTTAGTCTTTGAATTATTAAGGAAAAACACGAGCCAATCAGAGCGCGAGCATTACGCTTGCACAGACGCGACAGCTTCTAGTGACAGAGCGCGCGTAATCCTCGCGCTCTGATTGGTCAGTGTTTTTCCTTAATAATTCAAAAACGAAGCTTCAAACCTCATTTTTGCAAAGGGAAATCTCATTCAGAATCACATTAGCTTCCCCCCCATTTCAGGGACCCTCACTAATTGTGAGACACCCTGTAGTTATTACTGGTTATATTACTAGCATAGATAATAGAAATTTTGTAGACAGGCAGTTAGTTAAACTTGGAGAAAATACATCATGGAAACAGTTGAACCTACTTTTGTTCATTTCGATTTTTTAAATAAAACATACACTTTCTCTTTCGCTCGGCTTTCTCCATTTTTCTACATACATATATTCATGAAAAATTACTTTCGCAAGTTGTTTTATAAAATTCTGTTTCTTTAAATTCTCTTTTACCTTTTCTAAAATTTCTACGAGTAACAATGGTAAAATTATATGTGATAATTTTGCGTTTCACTCGAAAGTATCCTACTGATGTTAGTATATCATAATGGTAGATTGTCGTTAATTTTGATAATGATTTTACGGGCAATAAATGTCAACATCCAAGAGAGCGCAAGAATGAGGTCTGGCATACGGGTGCCGGTATCGTGTTAACTGCAATTATTTGGCTTGTATCTTGTAGAATTTTCCCAGAAACACGAATTCGATTCAATGAAATAGAAGATGGAATAGCTTGTAATGTGATATATTGCTTACCTGAGAAAAATATGGTGGTAGAACGCATCGTTGATCATCGAGACGCGAACTCTGCACCCTTTCCAGCAATTCGAATAAATCTTGCGTAGTATTCTGCAACGAGGAGGAGTATTATTTATCAATATTTCTCAAACTGTGTTCGCTACGACGGAAATTACGATATTATAAATTATTTCATGAACATCGTTGAAACGTTTATGGAATCGATTAACTGAGTTGCAACGTTCTGAACAAAAACGATTGAGTTTATGCTCCAGTTTTGTGCAAATTTACTTCACTTTCAGCTTTTTTTTTGAGTTTTCTACGCTGCTTTTTTTAATCACTTCTTTTCATTGTAGTCACTAAACTTTCATAATAAATTTTTATTATACTAAACTTGTTTGTGTTATGATATAAATTTTGATGTCCTGTTATTCGGAAGAAGTTCGTTTGTTTCGAAGACGTACATGAATAGTTCTATACAATAGGTATTGTATAGATGTATAAAAAACACATCAATTCATCGGACGACAAAGAAATATTCGATTGCCTTTTAGTGGTTTTCCAGTTACTCGTCCAATTTCCAATACAGTACCATAAAACCACGATGGCGACATTGCTTTCGTTTGATGTGATGACAAAGTTTACGAAAGTTAAATTAACACTTTGCTGTTCGATAACATTCGATACCATAATTAAAATTTCATTCCAGGAAAAGTGACGTATTTATTCTCCTTTTATTTGCATTTAACGTCATTGACAGAAAAAAATTATGGTAAAAAATACGAACTTTTATACAATAATAAAAATGTTTTAGAGTTTTAGAATAACAGAAATGTTAACAAATTTTGTTATAGCAGTAATGTTTTAATACTTTCGATAACAGCAATGTTTAACAATTGTAGAATACTAAAAATGTTTTAAAAATGTAGAATGACAGAAATGTTTAAAAATTGTAGAATAACAGAAATGTTTAAAAATTTTAGAATAATGGAAATGTTCAAAAATTATGGAATAACAGAAATGTTTTGAAAATGTGAAATAACAAAAATGTTTTAAAAATGCAGATTGACAGAAATGTTTTGAAAATGTAGAACAACAGAAATGTTTTATTAATGTAGAACAACAGAAATGTTTTATTAATGTAGAATAACAGTAGAGTTTGAGAATAGTAGAATATCAGTGCAAATAAATACATATTACAAGAAGAACAAACTCATCCACAAACCGTGAAAAACATGCACTCTGAAAACAAGTTAAAGATCGCGTATGAAAATGCTACCTTGCAAGTTAGTATTATGAATCGTTCGGTTTTAGTTATTAACCTTTCGCGAGGTGCAAGTAAAATGTCAGGTGACGTATCCCGACAATAAGTGGTCATTATAGTTCCCGTTATAATTGTGAAACCGAAGAGTACTGTTGTACATGAATGAATCTACCGATTACAAAAGTATGGTAATAATGCACGTAAAATAATACCGGACCACAGTAATAAAATTGAGGATGAATACAAGAGCTCAGCGATAAAAATGCGTGAAGAATATAACAATGTGGTAATAATTAGTCCGTGGACGTTTATGAAAGTGCATATTATTTCTTCATACAAATATAGGATTCTTTGAAAAGGAGACGTAATTTAAAAAATTTTACTTTGCTCTGGCATATTAACCTTTTATCTTTTCACAAGGTGAGTTAGAATCTTTTACTTCTGTCTTATGTAAACATTATTCAAGCGCTGGTATTTCTAGGTAGATTTCTAGGTGTTCGTATTTCTATTTCATAGTGATTTATTTGTAAGTTATTTTACAGGATATAGGTATTTCTAGGTAGATAGATTTCTAGATGTTCACATTTCTACTTCATAGTGATTTGCACATTCAAATTTGTTCTATACAGCTCTGTTTAACAATCGGTATTTGATAAAATACGATTTGCAACTATTTCTTTCTTTCGTGCAAGAAATAAATGGAAGACTAGGAAATTTTCTGGAGTAATAGCATTTGTCTCTCACCTTAATTTTTTCTTGGTTGGCACCTTGAACATCTTGCCTTTCATCTTCCAGCGCGGCGCGCCGGGATTCAGACTCACAATACACGGACTGTTCGAGTTGCTGTCTCCTGAAAATATTAAAAATATCGATCAGAAGAGCGTCCTAAATTTTACGATATTAAAGATTGATGTACATATCTCTTCGGTAAAATTTTTCAAGGCCCACACTTCCTTGATTACATTTTAAATAAGTATAACAAAAAAGTAACAAAGTGTAATTCAACTCCTTAACTGACCTACATTTCTGTAACGCAATTTTAAATAATTAACGTAACTTTTTGCTTCTACCCATATTTCTTGATTCATAGCACCATTTTTAAAGTTCTTTATCTCTACTCTATTTTTGATGCTATTCATCATCCGCTATCGTGAATGGTTTACAGACTGGACACAAGCAAACTTTCAAGCAGATGCGGCTCGAGTGAATAAGTATGGTACGGGCTTTTCTCGAGAAAGTCGTGAAGATCATCTAATTCGATCCTCCCCCATGAAGGTTCAATCGTCTCATGTCTGAAACAAACGCACATCTGGCAGCAGCTGCTGACTTTTCGACCGGTGATCCTTCTTTACTTTTATTTTAGACTTTTCTTCTAGATTCGTACTTATTAACATTAATGTATAACTATCAATGCACATTGTCTGTTTTAACAAGGTGACTATTTTGTTTAACACTGCCGTACTGAACAAGGTGACACCATTTTGTTTAACACTGCCGCACTGAACAAGCTGACGCCATTTTGTTCAACACTGCAGTGGCTAAAAATTTGATTAGATATTTGTATTTTTAACAATGCCAAATATTTTCACAAACTTCTGTATATTCTTTTGGCTACATACAGGTATGGTCAAGTTTGTGTTGTGACATGAAACTGTATATTTTCTAATGCGTTAAAATTCGTCATTCTTCACAAAAAATTAACTTATAGCGACAAGTCATAAATGCAGTATGTAATCATTCAGTGTGTAGTCAAATTACAATCCAGTCTGTAATCATACAGTATCTTCTTAATACTCTTTGAAATTTTATTGGAGACGTCTGATTATATTCAACATGAGAATTATTTTTAACAGCAGCGCTAAAATTCCTTTCAAATTCCTTTTTACACAATTTTTGTACAAACACAGATAATACTTGTAAACGTATCATTTTCAGGATGTTACAGTTTCAGAGACCTTAACGACGAAGAATCGAATGCCACGATTTTATCACTCGAAGTGGTTGTTCGTCACCTCATCCGAGCAAAAAGACACGAAGAAAGAATAATCACGATGGAACACGATGGATTCGTGCAATTCATCGAACCGTTCGACCGTTCGAATGCAATCGACGGATTCGTGTTCCATCGATCGATCAAACGATCGATCCTCCGAGTCCTCGTTATTTCATAATACCGCTGCTAGAGATAAAAGAAGAGCCGTCTTTTCAATCGCAAAGAAAGGAGAGTTGTGTGACAGTAATTTAAATAATTTGACTACGGCGAAGACGGGTCTCGTAATTGCTTCTTATTTCTCTGTTGATTCGATTACAACATAAAGTCGCATCCAATTAAAACGCTGGCGATGTCTGCTTATTTTCTTCTTTGCACCTTGCGTTATGTTGATCAATTTTAATTAGATACATCATTTATTTATTCCGTGTTTATATATTCGAACAAAGTTCTGGCTTAAGTTTTTCTTAAATCTAGGTTAATTTATTCAAATCTCATTAACAAAATATCTTTACCAACAGCTAAAACCTAACGTTATAAATAATAAATACAATTATTTGTGTATGCTCCTTATTATTCTCTTCCTTTCATACTGCAGAGTATAACATACACGGTTATGTAGAATTTAAACAAAGCGATATTTTTTCAAAATATCAAATTTAAGAAGTACATTTAATAGTTAAACATACTACATTATCACACCATCGAAAAAGGAATTAGACCCTTAAGTATTTATTTCAAAATTCAAGTATTTGAAGTAATAAGAATTTATGGATCAAAACGATGCAAATAGAGGTGGGATTTATGGAGAGCGAAAATACCTTATCTGTTAATTAGTGGACTGCTAGAGAAGTCGGAGATTTTGTTGCAGAATAAAAGGAGATAGTTGGCAGAGATTAGGTTCGATATCCAGAGGGGATTTAGAGATTCAATAACAACGGGAACACGATATAGCCAGCGGTTGGACGTTGCGAAAGAAGGTCGAACGAGCGAGAAAGCGGACAACCAGCCAGTCTACCTCGACAAGGCAAATCGGCAAGCTTCTAAAACGAACCGCAATCTTTCTGCGACTGGCATTTATCGTCGTATCTGTCGATAATCGCGCATTCCGCTTCGTCGAGCGCCATAAAGGATCGATGATGCTGTTCGAACCGCGGGTTGCCCTTCTAGCTACACCCCTGCTCGAAATTGCTATCAAATTGATTCCATAGTATTTTGTAACAAGATCGCTTATATGTTTTCTTATAATATAAGTAATTTCTGTTTTGTAAAGGACAGATATGGAATTTTTGGAAGCTCGTATTATACAAATACGTGTTCACATTTTTTGAGGTTAAAAATGGTGCGTGTGGATTATAGTGATTTTGTATCATAACGATAAATAGTGATATAATAAAGATATGGGTAACTTGCATTTTCGACTTCTATATGGATTAAAACTTGTGTACATTGTATCAAATAATATGTTATTTTTTGTGAAATATGATATGCATGGGTGGACAAGGAAATTGAAATCAGGAGGTAGTGAGTAGTAAGAGTTTCTTAGGTAGTAAAAAACTTATAAATTTGTGAATTTATGAATGTTTGAATTTATGAATTTGTGAATTTGTAAATTTGTAGACACATGAATTTTTGAATTTGTAAATTTATAATTTAGAAATCTCTGAAGATTTAGAAATTTGAGGTAGTAGGATTTGAGATTTGGGGTAGTAGGAATTTGGGGATGTAGAAATTTGGGGATGTAG